CAGCTGCCAGCAGCTGCTTCACTGGGAAAGCAGGAGCACTGGCTTGTTAACAGCCCTTGGAAGAAGAGTTTGCAGGAGGCGGACTGTCCATCTTTATTGTGCTGCTCATAGCCTTAAGCAAAATCCTTCCAAGGACCATTTCATTTAATTCCAAACCTTTTGGAGTGCTGTGGGTAAGGGAGAGGGAGGTGGCTGTGGATGCCAGGTGTATTGCTGGAGGGCCCTGGCAAGGTGTGTTACTTGCTGAGGTGCCAGGGAGGTGGCCCTGCTGCTGCTGGGATTACCTGCAGCCCTGGATTTGTCAGCAGGAAGGGATGTGCAGGCAGTGCTCTGGGTTTTTTTGGTTGGGGTCCCTCCTGCTGCTAAAGGAACGTCTTCTTAGCATAATGTAATGACTGGAGTCTAATTGCCCAGCAAATGGATTTGCTGTGTGCAGGACAGGAGTGGGAAAATGAAGATGATCCATCATGTCAGGTCTGTAACTAGCCTTATAACCACCTAGCTTGGATTCACCGAGTTTCTCTGAAAGCTTTCATGCCTCAACGCCTTGCAAAATGCATGACAAAAGAGGCCATTCAGACGAGTGCAATTCCACTTTCCCTTCATCCTACCGATAACATTTTAGCATCACTGGAATAATGTTGTCTTAAAAGAGTGGGAAATGCTGTCACTACTGCACTTGAGCTGATACCGTGCTCTTGGCCTTGCTGTCAGGCCACGTTGTGTCAGGGGCACAGTCACCCAAGTGGGCTGGGGACAGTGTGTCTCTCCTGCCCATCACACCTTGGTAACAAGTGCCTTGCTTAAAACTAGAAGAGGGACTAAATCTGAATCCTAGGCTAGGCTGGATGGGGCTGTGAGCTCCTGGTCTACTAGTAGGTGTCCCCGCTATGGCAGAGGGTTGGAACAAGGTGGTCTTTAAGGTCCTTTCCAGCCCAATCCATTCTGTGATGTTATGGTTCTGTGAAAGACTAGTGTCCTCTACCAAGCCTGCTGAGGCTGAGCCATGTATGGCACAGGGAAACCCTCTGGGGTGACCATCTCCTGGGCGGTGTGAGTATGAGAAGATGCTGGTGACAGTGCCTGGGACATCTGACAGGTGGGCAGGCTGGGCTCCCCTGGGACTTCTGCCAAGGCTACCTGCTGTTTGATTCCCTCAGTGATTCCTGGGCAGGAGAGTGCACAGCTGAGGCTCTCGGCTCTCCACCAACTTGTTGGGATGCTTTCCTGTAAGCAGCACTGGGATGCCTCCAGTGACTGGTGAGATACTCAGCCCTGAGCCCACCAAAGTTGGCTCCCTCAGCATCTCCCATTTGTTAACCCATAGCAGTGCTTGGCCGAGAAGAACCCCTAACTCAGCAAGTGCTGCTGAGGAGTGACAGCCCCGAGCAGTGCTGGCTCAGCACAATATCCAGTGACCAGGGCTGTGTTGGCTGCTTCAAGCCCCCTTCCTGTTGTCCCAGGAGGCACAGGCCGTGCTCTCCATCCTCGGGGTTCCCCATGCTTGGCAAGCAAGGCAGATGGATGGATTGCTGACAGGGAATTTCACAGGTTGTTTCTGCCCTGTTCTTGCTGTGTGCAGCTTTTGCTGAGCTGGCAAACACTGTGAGTGTGGGTATTTCTCCACTAAATTTGGAGAGGCAGAGCTGAACCTTACTCTCTATAAGACCTACTTCAAATTGGGCTCTAGTGAATGTTTCCCATGGAGTTGTGGTTCTTGCTGTGTCCCTGAGGTTGTTGCAGCCAGGGACAGTAGAGTACTGCTGTGGTGTAGGTGTGCTTTGTTGGCTGGTGCTGACTAAAGTGGTTAGGTTGTTGTGTTCCACAGGGACAGAGTTATTTTGCAAGAGGACTAAAGAGGAACATGGTATTTAACAGACAGGGTGCTCCGTGGCAACTCTTCATGTGGATCTGAGGTAGCACCTCCCTCTGATATTTGTGGACTTGATTTTCCATCCTAGACAAGGACCAGACCAGAAGGCTTTTCTTTTCCAGGCAGGGAAGGCCGCCATCCTCCACGTGCTGTATCTGTCATTTCCAAAGCAGTCATCTCTTCCAACACAGCCTTTCTCTGCAGTGCTCTAGTCCTGGACAGCCAGATGCTTTGGCACCCAGGGAAGGTCCCCAGGGGTGCCAGGCCACTCAAGCTGCTGCTGGAGATATGGTTATCTGTGTGGGATTGAGCACGGGCTGTCTCAGCTAAACCCATTTGATCCCACAGCTGTGGGCATCTGCTGCCACCATGGTGGCTTGGGCTCCTCCATGGCACTTTTTAATGCAGCACTGTGAGGAAAAAGGGGAAACGGGCTGTCTCTCTGGTTTCTGCATCCTTCTGTGCTGCCTAAATTTTTTCAGAGCTCACATATCCATGCATGGGGCTTGGGGGCCATCTGTTGGGGACCGCTTTGGATGGAGGACTGTGGCCATCAGAGCAGGAACAGTCACAGAGCCCTTTTGGTGTCTTCTGGCCTCTCTCCTCGCTTTCATACCCCCTTCTTCTTGCAAGGTGGTTCTTGCTCAAAATTAAACACTAAAGCTAAAAAGAGAGAAATTAATCTTGGTGCACTATGGGGTTAGAAGTCCAAGTGGAAAGACCAGAAAGCCCCCGGTGCAAACTGTTAATGAGGTGCTAATTGCACTGTAAGGAGGTAGGGCTCAGTGGCTCTAAAGCTTGGAGTGAGCTCCTTCAGGAGCAGCGGGGGATAGCAGGAGCATGGGGCAGTGCAAGAGCCTCTGTGAATGAATCAAGGTAGGCTGGGTTTTAACAAAACTTGGCAAGTTGGAAGATGCCTTTGGAAAATGTGGTGGCACTGCTAGTAGAGTGGATGGAGAGTTTGGAAAAGCCTACTTGATTGTAAGAATTGTGTTAGAGCAGGGGCTCTGCCTTCCTCACACCGGTGCTGCCGGGAGCTTCATTCCCAGGACTGCATACTTGGCTAGATCTGTGACATGGAGCCTCTGTGCCTGTGTTTGGTCTTATTAAAGACACCCTCTGCCTTTCCTTTAGAGGTGCTTCATCCAAGGGTGCTTTGTGGTGGGCTAATCCTCCATCCAGCTTCATGGGCTCCAGCCCAGCATCACTGCCCTCACTGCAGTCAGGGTTGTGTTGGGCTGTTAGCAGGAAAACTATCCCTGTGTGTGTGTGTGTGTGTGTGTGTTTGGTGAAACACCTCCAAAAATGCTCCAGGAATGCTGCAGAGGGACTTGGCGCAAGGACCTGGAGGGATAGGACACAGGGAATGGCTTCACAGAGGTCAGGGCCAGATGGGATATTGTGAAGGAATTCTTTACCCGGAGGGTGCTGAGGCACTGGCACA